CCATCTGCTTTCCATCTGCTTCTCTCCTCGAGCTGGATGCCAAGGCAAAATCGAAGGCCGACCTCTTAAACCGGCTCAAGGATCTCAAGGCGAAGCCCGGCCTTCTCGGCATTGCTGAAGTCTCCGGCGGTGTTCCCAACAAGCTCAACAAGTAAGCGCATAGTCAATTTCTATATTTCTTTGTTAAAAAATTATCCTAACTACTGGTGTATGCGCTTCCTTTCAAAATTCCGTATCTTTTTTAAATTGTATTCTTGTTTAAAAGTTTTTTAAAGAAATTTTACCTAAAGCTATGGAATGTTTGCGTGTAATAAATTATAGGTAAGGGATATTGCACATGGGTATAAAGTATTATTAATGCGGTTCAAAAAAATTAGAATTTCCAAAGGTGGAGATCAAGGAGTGAGTTTTTATTCTTTCTAAACTACTCTTCATATCCAAATTGATGAGAATTTCTCTACATATTCAAATATAAATAATCAAAAGTTAATATTAATACCAAACAGAGCATAACCAATTTCTTTCAACTATTTCGAAGTATCCAAATATAATATTAATGTCATTAATTAGTGCCTATAATCTCTTTATTGGTTGCTGTTCATGGTAGTAATTCCTTATGTCATATAGTGAATTTGTACTATAGCTGTAAGTATGTTATCAGCTCTTCTCAAGATTGTACGCGTCTAAAAATAACTATAGATGTCCGCACACAACTCGAGACAAAAGGAAGATAATGAATGTCATCATTTGAGTCAAAGAGGACCATCCGAAGCCGTAAAGAGGATAACGAGCACACGAAGCAAGTCAGCGAAGCGTACAAGTCAACTGAATGACAAAATACGCAAAACGGTGCAAAAGACCTCTAAAAAAGCTCGGAATCCGCGCGGCACGCGGGTCACATTTAGCACAAAAGCCAGCAACCTAGTGTAAGCAAGATTTGCACACCTTGGATAAAATATCGATCGAGAGATTGTTACGACACATCTCGATCAAAGTGCTTTTCAGAGACCTGGTCCCGACAATGAAGCGACCGATTCCTAAATCTCTTCACGAAGTCATTGACCGACTCCGTTTTCTTCTACTTCTCAGCAAGCATAGTGGCTATCGATACTTCCGTGTCGTCGTCGAAGAACCGGGCCAAGAAAAGCTTTTCCACATCGGCCCATGTTGTGAAAGAGCCTAGGAAAATATCTTCTCGGCCAGTTAATAGACCGCACAAGGAGGAAACATTTAGCATTCTAGTAAACTTATGATCCGAAAGTCTTTACAAAGCTTCTCACCAAAGAGACAAAACAGCCCCTACCTTCTGTGTTTTTAGGCTGCTCCCTTTCCGATCTGTGGGTCTTTGGATCTTCTTTCGCACCTACTTCAGGAATCCATCGCTAGGTGGCTTTGTCATATATATGGGATGTCCTATGCACCAGCAGAACTTCCCAATTCAACTCGGGTGAAGTCAATTAGCTAATATAGCAATCTTTTTGAAGGAGATCTAGGTTGCCAATTATCCAGGTCATATGACAATGCCAAATGGGGGGCCTTTATGAAGAGGAAAATCAAGTCTGGAAGTACACGTGAGAGAATGAGGATCGCTTAATCACAAATAGAATGGCTGAAGAAGATGGGATGGGCACTAGCCACTAGGGTATCAAAAAAAGGAGGAAGCACAAAAGCCAGCAACCTAGTGTAAGCAAGATTTGCACCTCAAGCCTCGTGCACAACAAAAAGACACATTACCCCACTGCAACGCAAGTGGCACTTGTGTTTTATAGGCTGAGATATCTTTAAACATATTGCTACAGTGTAGCTAACATCTAGAAAGTGCATGGCTTCTATCAAGTAAAATGAATAATCATCAGAAGCCCCGAATAGATCAAGTGTCTGATCAGTGTTTTTACCACTAGTAAAAAAATGAACAAATTAGACGGAACAAACTAGACGGAATTATTTTCGTCTAGTTTGGCTCAAACTAGACGGAAAAAATTCCATCTAGTTTGTTCCGTCTAGTTTGAATCAATCTTGACAGAAATTTCCGTCTAGATTGACAAACTAGACGGTTTTTTATTTTTTTAAAATAGTCACTCAACCTAGACGGAAATTCCGTCTAGATTGATACAACCTAGACGGAATTTCGGTCTAGATTGCCTAAGGGGGGGTTATTCATTGGGGTAATTTGTTCCAATGGGGTAATTTTACCCAATGGGATAATTTGAGTGGGATAAATTGGGGTAAAATAGGATAATGTGACAATTTGAGTGGGATAATTAGTATGATATTTTTTTATAATATTATATTTATGCTATATTAACAAATTTTTTAATTGCAATAATTGAATTAGTATGATATTTTTTTATAATATTATATTTATGCTATATTAACAAATTTTTTAATTGCAATAATTGTTCAAACATACAACCCCAAAATCTTTTATATTAACAAATTTTTTAATTGCAATAATTGTTCAAACATACAACCCCAAAATCTTTAATAACACACAGTTTTTCAGCTGTCATACAAATCACCAGAGCATAGTTTCAACATCAAATTATCACAAGTACATAGTTTCAACATCAAATTATCACAAGTACATAGTTTCAACATCAAATTATCACAACAATACAAGAAAATTCACAAGTACATAGTTTCAATATCAAATTATCACAACAATACAAATAAAACACCATCAAAGATCTACCTTTAAACCAATAACCGGTTGTGTTTGAATTGATCCACGACGCCCATTGACCCAAATCAACAAGATGATCTCAAATAATTATGTACTGATTAAACTTTTTATTATCTCACAACTTCCATACTTCCCATTTTCCACATGCATGAACCCCCAAAAAAACAACAAAACTACACATCTTGATCTCTCCTTGTTCATCATTCAAGCATCAACCTCGCAGTCATCTCCCCCTCTCACTCTCAAACACTTTCCCCTTTTCTCTCGCCACCATTAAACATCAAAATCCCCACCTTTTTCTTCAATTTTCTGCTCAAATCCAGATCTATGGTTTCTTGATGATTTTCTCCTCTCTTCCCCAATGCCATTCCTCCTCCTCCTCCTCTTCCTCCTCCTCGGAAACCCTAATCCAGATCTACGGCACCGGCGACTTCAGTACCCTCTGTGATCTCAAATCCAGCGTCGACAAAATCAACAAAATGACTTCAATTTTCGAACTCCGCGCCTCCCCAACTGCCGCCCTCGTCGACATCCAGATCCGTCGCCGCCCTCATCAGCGCCCTTCGACCTCGCCACCGCCCTGTCCTGTCCTCCTCTTCCCCCGCTGCTCCTCCTCCCCAAGCTCCTTAGATCCGACCTCCAGCCCTCCGACCAGCTCGACCTCTAGCCCTCCGACCAGCTCGAACTCCACCCTCGCCAGATCTGAGCACCGCCATGTCCTCCTCCTCCTCCGCCCTCGCGAATTTTTTCTGGACGAGCTCGAGAACGAAATAGGGTAAATTGGTTCCCCTCTTTTGTTCCAGAAGGCAAAATGGGGTAATTTGGGGCTTGGGGGCTGAGGAATGTATATATAGTTGGTGTAATTTAGGGGAAAGTAGAGTATTTGTCTCCAATTACCCCCAACAAACCAATAACACCACAAAGATTTCACCAGTTCCAATTATCCCAATGAATAACATCAAACATTGTTGTTCCAAAAATTACCCAACGAATAACCCCCTAAAAAAATTACCGACCCTTTCTTTTTTTTCATTTCCCCGCCTATTTTTTCATTTCTCCGCCTCTTTTTTCTCCCCTCCATCTAAATCCCGGGCCAAACCCTCTCTCTCTCCACAAATCCCCGAATCTCTCTCTATCTCTCCAAACCCCCAAATCCCCCTCATCCCCCTTCCACCTGCACCTCCACCGCCGGAGCTACTTGGGCCGGACTTTTCAATCTGGTCAACCAAAAGCGCCCCCCCTCTAGCGGGTACAGCTCGAAAATTCCCCTCGTTCTTCCCTATCAAAAACCCTAACCCTACCTCTCTTCTTGGTTCCCAACTCCGATCCATGACGCATCGATCTCTCCCCCTCCTCAAAACCCTCCTCCGATCCCGCCTAACCTCCTCCCGCTCCGTCACCTACATGCCCCGCCCCGGCGACCGCGCCCCTCGCCCCGTGACCCTAATCCCCGGCGCCTCGTTCTTCTTCCTCTGAATCTCTTGTAGAGAGAGATCCTCCGATCCCGCCTAACCCCCTCCCGCTCCGTCACCTACATGCCCCGCCCCGGCGACGGCGCCCCTCGCCCCGAGACCATAATCCCCGGCGCCTCGTTCTTCTTCCTCTGAATCTCTAGTAGAGAGAGAGAGAGAGAGAGAGAAAGCGATTCAAAAATGGTTTAGAGGTTGACCTATCGCAAGAGGCATAGCTATGCCACGAAATCGAACCCGACCCGCATCGTCAAAACCCCTGGTAACCATCTCTCTCTCTCTCGATCTCTCTCGATCTCTCTCATTCTAGGGTTTTAGGCTGATTTGGGATCGGAACTAGGGTTTAGTATTGAAAAGATGACTGCTTGGCGTTTGCTTTTAAGTTCGTTGAAATGTGGTTTTTATCAAATTTTGATGATCTTGGGGTGTGTTGTGTTAATGCTGATGAACCCTGGTCTACTTAGCATTAACTGTAATTATTATTTAATTTTTAGATGGAGGAAAGCTAATGCCCAAATGAACGTTACTTATCAGTTCTTGTTAAAAATTTGCTTTTATATAGTCCAAATTGATTTATCCCATGATATTGACCTGTAGTTTCATTTTTATTGGAAAAAAAAATGGGAAATGAAAGTCCATTTGTTTGTTTCTTGTGCTTGTTTTTGCATGGAGTAATTGGAATTGCTGTAGAAACTACTGGCAAGGATAATGTTAGAGCTTAAATTAAGATCCTGGTCTTTGCTGTGTCTAGAACTTGTCTGTGATTTCTAATATGATGCTTATATAGTTTATATCTTGTTATAGGTGGGAAACTTACCTACCAGACTGCCAAGAAGAGGGCGCAAAAAGATCAAGGTGCCTGTGAACTGGAAAGAGAATCCAAGGGGTATGTGATGGCTATGCCTTCCCATACTATGTTTTTTCTTTTTATCTTTTATGTGTGGTTTGAAGCATCTTCATTTATGTCATTGTTTAGCTTCGTGCGCGGAATGCTTAGATGTTTCTTTTAAGTTGCTTTTCCGTTGCGAACTCATGATTAAGTGTCCGTTATGCATTTTAATAGAAACCTGTCTACCATCATGATTACGTTGTTGGAGCTCTTAATGCGTTTCAAGCATTGCTTGTTGGTTTCTGGAGTGTTTTATTACTCTATGAGTGTGTATTATCATATAGTTTTCTTCATCTTGATAGCTTATCTATTTATGTGAATTCAAGCACAAACTGAGTGGTAAGCAGACTATCAGCTAGTTTGGAGTTGTAATCAGGAAAACCAACATGCCATAGGTCCCGTGTTAGAATAAGTTAGTGAAACCTGTCATGCATTGTTAGAATATCTCATACAAATGTTATGCTTGTGTTTGTAGATGGTTTTCCATCTCAGGTAAGGATCATTATTGAACTTGTAACAACCTCCTATATAGTAGAAATATGAATGGTTTTAGTGCTTGTTTCTTAAACCAGCAAACGGTTTATATATTTGCTGCTATGGATTCATTTCTATGAGAAGCATGTATCATGTTACAAACGGTTTATATCTTTGCTGCTACGGTTTATATCTTTGCTATAGAGACCACTGGTATTAGAGGATCATGAAGTAACTAACAATATCATGTTACATAATGCTGGTTAATAGTATACTGTTTGTAAAGGAGAAATAGTCTGGTAATATCAACATAATACTATCCTATGTCCAGATTTCATGAATCATCAATTGTGCTTTGCTTGGGATGATTCCAAGTTGGTTCTTATATAAGACATTAAATAGTGTGCACATGTTTTATTTTGTTTCTTTTTCTCCCATATTGAAGTTACATAGACCCCATCTCTGAGCATGCCAAGTTCAGTTTCATATATATCTTCGCAGGTCACCTAGACAATAAATGAATGGGAAAGCTAGTATCACAGTTATTTTGCATGTATCATGGTTTCTTTCATATTCTAATCTAGAGTGGTGATTTATGTTCTCTTTCAGGTGGGATAACGACATTGATTGATATGCCCCTCAACAGATATCTTTCCACAGTGTTTGTAGAACACTAAAACTCAAGGTAAATTTCATATAAAGCTTCTTTCTTACTGTTCGCTTATACAGATAACTAGTGAATACTTAATTTATGTGGAGGTGGTTTTGTTGGGGGCCGCTTTCTCTAAGGATCTTCTATGTATGTATAGTCAGAAAACTGAAACTAGTTTGCTAAGGTTTCCTATGTTTGTATTAATAAGTATTTATTTAAGTGGACCCTTTGTCTCATTTTTCCTAGTTACTTCAAATGACACGTAACAAAGCTTTTCTCCTACATGTTATGTTGGAATTGGCTACACAGGTTACTTGCTGATACACAGTTTGTATTTAACATATTGAGTATGGAGAAGTGAAGGTTTGGAGCCATAGGGCTTAATTTCAAAAAATAGAAGAATTGAATCTGTTTTTCTGCAGGGTGTTTCTGTGTTTCATCGTAAATTATCTGTATGAATTGACTGAAATAGAAAAATCTTTGATGTGGTTTTATTCTCATGCATTTCAGAGTCTGGTCAGTGAAGTTTGCATTGTAAAAAGCGCTACATATCAGATGCTTCCATGTGAGAAAAAAGGTCTTGTTGAAGTGATGCCTAATGAAGCTCTTGCTAAATAGAAAATTACTTCTTATCTATGTAAACAGTTTATGTATTGCACTAGTATTTTCGTGAATGTATTATTGAATATAATTGTATTTGATATTGAAATATAATTAGATTGTGTTGGATATGAATATAATTTGGTGTTGTGCAACATTGTGCATATATACATTTGATATCATATAGTTTGCAATGCAGATTCCGTAAAAAAAAAACCCTGTAGCAGTAGCAACCTAGACGGAAATTCCGTCTCGGTTGCTACAATATCCGTCTAGGTTGTTACTATTGCTACAGTATCAACCTAGACGGAATTCCGTCTAGGAATCAACCTAGATGGATTTTCACTTCCGTCTAGGTTGTTTTCCGTCTAGGTTAGCAAACTAGACGGAATTCCGTCTAGTTTGCCCCAATCTAGACGGAAATATTCTAGACGGAATAAACTAGACGGATTTCCGTCTAGGTGAACCAATCTAGACGGAAATTGGAGCAACCTAGACGGAAATTTCCGTCTAGGTTGCTCATTTTTCTACTAGTGTACCTTCTGCCACTAAACTGAAAAGAAAAATGAGATAATGCAAGCGAGTCACCATATGTTCGAACTTTTAGTTTATAGCAAGTTACAAAATTGTAAAGGAAAATATCAGAGTAACTAAGAACTAAATAGTTCAGGATGCATCACAACTCTAAAGGCAGCAAGGAAGCTGGAGATCACCTCATCTGTCGCTTTATAGCACCAATGTTCTAGTTCAGCTAATCATGCTTTGACATATTCACCATTACTGAAGGAGCAGCACTCTCTCCTTAATTGAAGACTAGCCATAAGGAAGAGAACTATAATTACTACCAGCTAGCATTAGAACATGAGATAAAATATATTAGAATTAACATGAGGAGAAATATAATACCTGTTAAATAGCTGAACATTGATGAAGGAAAATATCTGTGTGAACACTTTTCTCACTAAAAAGGGTGGCACCTGAAACAGCAGTACTGCTTGTCATAGGAGATCAAGTTTCCAATAACCAAAAGAACTATGCAAAGTAAGGGTTACATTGAATGGTTTTCTAGGAACTGAGCCAAATTAATAGAACTTAGTTGCAATTAATAGGTAAAGATGAACAGCGTCGCCAATAAGCATTAGCGATGGATTTATTCTATCGCCAATGCTAATTAGCGACGGATCAATGCCCGTCACCCATGCACATTAGTGAATGATTATCCCATTGCCAATGAGTGACCCCCACAAAAAAATTAAGGGTTATTTTAATATTAGTCCCACAAATCTTCAATATTTTAAAAGTAGTCCACCAAATTATGAAAATTGCTAACACATCTAGGGGTGGAAATGAACAAAATAACGACATGATCAGAGCCCAGACGACTCGATCCACGCTGGTAGCCGACTTCATAGGCCGATGACTCATGTGCCCAACTCGAGAGGTGATACTTGTCGACCTATTCTACAAGTCAAGCCCTCAAGACTTCACACTTAATCTGCTATATCAACCGACAACTTGCGTAATCAACTAAAAAGATGATATTTGTCGACCATCAGCCGAACGGCTTAAGAGGTGGTAGATTTCTCGGACCATGCGCTAACAACCGTCTTCCCTCACATTAAATGCTCTGACAAAGTCATCATGGCTCATCAGCCCCCACACTAAACCACCTGGATGACCATCTTAGCCACTGGCTAACACCTATTATCGCACATGTGACTCATGCCACCCATAACCAACACCTGTCATCTGTCTACCGATTTAGCTGTCTACCTAGACCCGGCCATAATTTCATATTTACTCCTCTCAACTAGATATAAAAATGAGCTCATTGCCTACTGAGAGGAGAATCCTCATGCCCCCAAGGTGTCACAGGTATGCAACTTCTGCATACATAGAACTATTTTGAGTTCATTGGTATCTTCTCCACTCAGCTCAAATACTGACTTGATTGTTGGAGGAACTACTAAAAAACCCAACTCCGATCCTCTAACGAGTGTTATTTTTCAGCTCTCTTATGCAGACAAGGGACCAAACTTTGAGAGAGATGAGGGAACCCACACCATAAGCTCCCTCGCTTTACTTGGGATTATCCACTAATCTCATTCCTGTTTGATAGCTGACATCAACAATATTCACTGCCACCCTGACAAAACGACAACTCATCCTCTAGGTTAACCAAAGGGTTTAAAGGCTCATTGTACATGCTAAATATAGTCGCGCTTCCTGCAAAAGTGAGTTAGGATTTCTTTCTTTTCTTTGTATTTCCTTTCTTTGCTAGAGGACTAGTAAAAAATTTGGTGTGAGGGTTGTAGGCGTCAAAAATTGTTGGATCCTAGAGGGGGGTGATTAGGGTCTTAAGGCGATAATTGTGTAATAAAAATTAAGACAATGCAATACACCACAAAATGAAAAGCCAAAGTAAAAGAGATAAGGTTTAGAAATCGTTATCTAAGTGACGCGCGATGTGTTCACAAGATTCGGTCCGCTGACCAACGTACCTGCTCCCCACTCTCGAGGAGAATCCACTATACAACCCGGTATGAAAGCCAGAACTTCTTCTACACAACCATCTCCACGAGATCTCACAACCACACAACTGATCTCCACGAGATCAAGCTCACAACAATAGTAAACAATGTAAAATCTCTCTCTTTACAGTAGCCCTATGGCAAGGAGAAAGATTACACATGAAGCTTGGGATGTGAACTTAGAAAACAGTGAAGAACAGGAATGAAAATTTAGGATCTTTTGAAAACAGTAAACAAAACACAAAGGATTTACAATGATCTTGGGTGACTCTGAAGAAGGGGGATATGTGGGTTTAAATAGGGAATGAAGATAACAGCCAAACCCCTAACCAAATCTCCCAAAATCCCAGAAAACAAAATTTCTAATTTTGTACCAAAAAGAGCCGTTGGGGTGATCGGCGGTCGACCGTGAGAATTTCACGGTCGACCGTGCAGGTTTTCAAACCTGAGAAAAGCTTCTGTAAGATATACGGTTGACCGCCACGATCGACCGTGAGAATTCAAGAAATCTTCTGTAATCAGTTCGGTCGAGCGTAGCGGTCGACCGCAGGAAGTCCCGAGCTCTCTGTAATAGAGGCAGTCGACCATCACGGTCAACCACACAGGTTTCTGCTGGCTCCTGAGGGAAATACATTAGTGCGGCCAACCGTGGCGGTCGACCGCGAATTGACACAGCTGAAACATGTTTTAAAAACTATTTTTGACATTTTAGATTATTTGTCAAAATACTCAAATGATTTCTAAAATTTGTATAACTTTGTAAAATGTTTTTAACACTAAAAACAAACTGTTTTGAAAAGGAATTTTGCGAATAGGTCCTCATACTTGTGGAAGACCATATTTTGATGAAACCGTCAAAACTATGAGTATGAAAATGTGTGTGTGATATCCCAATAGCTTCAAATAAAATCTATAACTACTTGCCTATATTTTAGCACTAGAGAGAAAAGAAAAATAGCAAATAGCTCTCACATAGAAATACATTTCTTGAGACTTGATATTGCTTTAGAGTTGATGAAGCTTCTCATTACGTTTAGTGTTCTTGATAAACATTGCTTCATCACTTTGCCTCCACCTCCTTCCGATATCGTCATTGTAGCCCGTATTCCATCCAATTCTCCATACATGGTACAAACTAGCTTGATATTTATATTATCTATAATCACTCAATAAGCAATTAGTACCGATAATGGTGGTTGTAAATCATCATCAAAACATAAGGGCTAACAAAAATTGCCTATAGATTACCATACATAGCTCAAGATGAAGAGAATGCGATAAACGTCATTATTTGAGTTATAAAGAATCATCCAAAGCCAAAGATCAACTAAGGAATGCACAAGAAGCGCATCACACAAGTTTCGAGGTACAGAACATGTCTCAGAAACTATGAAAAAACTCATACTTTTCGTGACAGTTGCGGCTGTCTCGGAAGCTATGAAAGAAAATCATAGTTTTCGAGACACTTGCGACTGTCTTGGAAACTAGAGTGGACTTGGTGATGGTTTTCTCGAGTTTTTTACGATCCACGTGGCTTCATAACTGTTGGGGATCATCCATAAATGTGGGGGAGCCGTTACAAACGAAAATCATGCCCATAACTTCTAGAATAATGGCAATTAAACGCGGTTAAAGCAGTTACAAAACTGCTAGAAACGAGCCCTGTTTTCGAGATAGCCACGAGTGTCTCGGAAATAGAGGTTCTTCGACATAATTTCTTTTCAACTTTAGACTTGTTTCGGTGGAAAATTAGTTTCTTCAATGAGGGATTCATTATAACTTCAGTCGTTACAATGAAAACAAAAAAAGATATTCTTTTTATAAGACTCTTACACAATGAAAAGTACAATTCTCGTAAAAACAAATGTAGGGATCATTTATCGATCTTCTGCTTGCGTGAGATCTTGGCCTGTACCGGGGACGCGTTAGTCCGTGGACCGCCACGGATCAGATTCGGTTGACAGATTGATGATTAAAGCTCTTACTTCATGAAGGAAGTAATCGCTGCAGCGGTAATCCCGACCAAGCGAGATTACGGCTCTTCTCGGGATTTAAGACCAATGTTAAATCCGGAGGAAAAGGGGACGGGTCTCAGATCTGTCGAACTCCACTCTTTATGCATAAGAAGTCGCCAAGATCTGCTAATCCTTGCTGTAAATTCGTGGCTACACTATCCAATTTGGCAGTATTTCGCCCCTTGATGTCCCCCTCTGAAATGAGCCCCTGGGCCTGTATTTATAGGCTTCGGTTGGGGAGTTTTCGGATAAGAACGATGGATTTGGCCTTATCCTCAGTTGATAATCGTGTAACCATATTTGTGGATGATATCCAATCAGTTGGGACACTCAAAAACGAACAAATCCTGAGAAAACCCGTCAAAACCGAAAAAGCATTTTTGGATCAAAACTGGTCACTGTCTGGTGGCTCGGCCATGGCCGGGCCACCAAATGGTGCCTCAGCCTCGGCCGGGCCACCAAATGGCCTGGCTGAGTCATTTTGACATGACTCGGCCGCCAGGGGCATTCTCGATTTTTCGGGTTTTGACTTGTTCCGTCGTTACACGTATTTCATCGTTTCGTGTACTTGTACGCCTCCCCGATTCGTTTCGTGAATGTATGGATAGC